TAATGGGAGAATGCCTTCAAACTAAGCAATCAGCTCTTGGGAGAACAATAAGAAGCCGCTATAAGACCAGAGACGTCACCAATAAATGTCTCTTTGGAGTGGAAGACAGAAAAGGTATCAATAATTTTTGAGATTTTGAAACTGATATTACCAAGCTTCTCGAGTACTGTGTAGGTGTCTAGTCACTCAGATTCGGGAAGGACACAATCCTCTTGACAGATAAGAATACCAGGACATGGCAAATCCATGATGTGAAAAGCAAATGAAATAACAAACGAAAAATGGAGACGAGATGTAACACTGTGCAAGCACATCATGAGTATAAACTTCAGGGAGAGAGACAAGACTATTTTCCCTCTTAAGATGAAGACCTCTCACAAGATAAAATGAACTTTTATGAGAAGGATTGCTTTAACTTAAGAAACACTGAGTCCAGAGCAGAAAAACAGCTTCATAAGTAATTTTAAGCTTGAGTAGAACACTCAGATTTGCTGATAATTGGTAGTTCTGGATGTCTTGGCCTACAACATGTCCTTTCCAGTCTAGTCTTAAATCTTCTATATGATGTTGGCAGCAACCGTAGAAAAAAGACACAAGACCACTAGAAAAATAATTGGTGGGTAGAAGACAGCTATCTCTTCAGCAGGGGTTTTCCAAAACCTCTAAATGTTTCACTCAAGACAAGTTATAGTTGTCTTAAAATGATTGTGCTGAGAGTTTAGGAGAAGAATCTCTGAAACATCTTTATTAATGTTGTGGTTAACTGTAGAAGTATACATTAATATCCACCACAGGGAGCTGCTCCCAGGTAATTTAGTCACACCTTTCATTACAGATTAAGAAATTTAGAAAATGGCCTAAGGCCTGTTTTCTGACTAACTTTCGTGGAGTATTCTAGAGATTTCCTGAGTGGAAAGGTTTAGCAGATCCCTTGCAGAGCTGCAATGGCTCAAAGTGAGCTTACTCAGCTGCTGGACCAGTGCAGACAGAGGGTTGTATTGTTACAGATCTACTCTGTACAGCAGCTGAGCCAGTTCATTCTGCTCATGACTGTACCGAGCTGGGCAGCCAACCAGCTAGCTAAAGTGTAGTATGTCATTCATCAACTCTGCAAAGATGAAAACATGACACTTGTATTTAGACAATACATTTAATGGAAAAATAAAATATATTTTTTAAATAAAATATTTATGCAAGGCACCAGTTTGTTTGGAAAATAAAGGCTGTAATTCTGTAAACACTTGTGCAGATGCTTTATATAAGTGTGGAAGGAGTCTCAAAACAATTTGAACCTACAAATTGCAATATCAAGGAAAAACATTTTTATAGATGCTGAAGGGCCAGATCTATTTCACTGACTCTTTGATCTTCTTGCTTGAATGGGACTTGGGGCACTGAGAATTATTATCATTATGGGGCACATTCCTGCATATTTTTGCTTATGAAATAGAGCTCATAAACTACATTTTCATTTACAAATGCATATTTGATCTTTACAAAAAAAGGTAAACGAGCTCTACCTTGCTATACAAGATGTTTATCTGTAAAATGAATTCATCTTGAACACAAACTAAAATTTAATGCATCAGACATGTAAAATCATTACAAAGACTAAAGTTTTGGTTTTGTAATATTTTAAGAGGTTTTGAGTGATCATATTAAGTGCCATTGCTTACAGAGCTTTTTAATATCAAACAAATAGAAAATAAAAGAATTTTTCAGACATTCAACATGAAAGACTGAAAAATGATGAAAACAAAGAAAGCTGCACTTTTGAACACACTCTGTTGTTGACCTGGCTCTCATATGGCTACTGGGTGGCCTGCAGGCTTAATCCAGCTCACCGGGCAGTGTTATCCCCCTCTTGGGAACGCTTGGAGGTGTGTCTGCACTTAAGTATTTCTGGGAAGCTTGTCCAGGGTGTTGGAGAGTTCAGTGGATCCAAACTGTTCCTGGCACTTCAGAAGCCTTAAGTGCCAGAAGGCGGCCAGATGTGGGCTCAAAGTCTGTGCTGAGACTGAGTTGATAAACCCTGCTGAACACAAACTGAGCCTATGCAGGCAGATATCACTGCAGTAAATTATATTACATGTCTAGCTGTACCTGGTTTGGGCTTTTTTCCTACTAATCAGAGAATATTGAATAACTGCCTAAATGGTTATCCTGTGCTGTTGGTCTGTCCCCTCAGTATTGCTTGCTGTCCCAAGACTGGGACTAGTGTGATATAACCAAATGACAGCTTGGAGCTACATTTGAATAAGAGGTTTCAAGGGTAAAACCACTGCTCTGGATGTAATTGGCATATCCGGTTGCTTGCAGTACAATATATTTATTCGAAAAGTAGAACTAATTAAAAAATACCTGATTGTTCATGTAAGTTGTTACATTTCATTTCAGTGCATTAAATTTAATGTGAATTAAATCTAATTTAGTGACAATGAAGGGGTAGTGGCATGAAGGTATAGGGCTCATTAATTCAAGGTTGCAAAGGCTTGATTCATTCTAGCCAGAAATAGATTTTTTTTAATGTCAAAATGCTGACAAAGAATGTAAACATACAGACACTGTAGAAGGACAGGACATGACATGGCTGAGGAAACCAATAGACATAAGGTGGACACAACGTCAACAAATGCCCAAACCTGTAGTAACAGGACTGAGCAGCTTAAAAAGCTCATAACTTGAGGTTGTGTGTCAGAAAGATGGCAATCAGCCATTAAATGATTGCTCCTATTGCAGGAATAACAAGATTGTGGTATGGCAACAAGTCTGTAACTATATGGAAATTATTTTGAAACCTTTTGCAACTCTTCCATTTTGATTAACTATATCCCACTGAGTATGTGTTCTTCACACATGAGAGAATTCAGATGACAGAAACCAAGGGAAGAATGGAGTTGATGACATTTTCCTCCTTCAGGAATCCTGTCATAGAAAAATAGACTCCTTTAGAAAAAAGAAACATTTCAGAAAAAAATGTTAAAATTAGTATGGAATTTATCAAATTAATATTATATAGCGATTACTAAAATCTTAAGTTTTTAAGGCAAAAATTTTGAGTGATTTTGATCTTTCATAAAGAATCAATTAGAACATCACAAACAACTAATTTTGACTGAAAAAATGAAACGATATTTTTTCACATTTCAATACAAGCTATTTTTTTTCTTTCATTTTTCTGATTCATTGGACATCAAAATCAACTGTAATAACAATTGTCATTGAACTGCCGATTAAGTTATTTTTTAATGTGATCTAAGATGGGATTAAAGATGAAGACACCCTGAGCATGTGAGCTGAGTTACTTTCAGATTCCATTTACTTTTTAAACTTGTGACTACTTACATCTACTGGATACGGGAATTCAGTGCACCTCTAATACAACCACATGTAGAAACTTGTTCTGAGATATCTAAGGCTACCGCTAGGTCTTTCACCCGAACTCTTGTTATCTTATCCGAAGACTTTATTAGAATTAAAATATATGTTGAGATGACGTATTTTTTGAGAGCAGGCTTCTGTTTTAATCAGTGTGAGAATTGCCATGGAGTATTTTGTTTTTTGAGAGGTGCTAACCTACTCTCAGACTCACACTGGCAGCACATTTGGTTCACTGAAGTGTTTTATGCTGAAGGATCAGCCTGTGTAAAGCTTATTTCTTTAAGGGCTTATTGCTTGTTTCACGACATGAGGAAGTTGTGCCAACAGCAGCCTTATCACCCACAGATGTAGTTTCAGCAACTGTAATAGCACCCTATTGCTGTCAGTGTTAGAAACCTGCACACCTTCTATGCCTGACCCTTTTTTTCTCCAGGTTTCACTTCAGTTCTTGCTCTCAGAAACATATCACTAAGCTGCCTGCTTCTGACATTCAAGGGCAGAGACCTGGCTTTCCAAACACACAAGGCTTTGCGTCCAGTAGGTTGGCATATCCAGGGGAAGTTTGTGAAGAAGAAGAAATGGTTAATTTAAGAAAAAAAGTTCTGTTTGAAAGACAGAAAATTGTATGTTCTGTCCTAGATTGAATTTTTTATGTGGAATTCGAATGTAAGAATGAGAAAAGGAGGGGGGGAGTGTGTGTCAACAAAATGTGGAAGGGACTTCAGCAGCACGTACTATGGAAAAATTGGTCTGTCTCTGTAGTTGTTGAAGATGAGTTCAAGGTGATAAGTTTGCTTTGAGTAAATGGCAAAAATTAAATAATGTTTTAAAGAATGTATCCAAATTAGCAGAGGTTTATTAGATCAGGAGGAATGTAAATTTGCCTGCCTGATAGAAAAACTTTTTTTAAGACCCATAGCGTATTTTTCAAGCTGCACAGTAGCCAGACATAATTATCTGTCTTGGATAAACTGCAATTGTTGGGACCAAATGATCTTTTCTACTTGGAATACTGAATTATTTATTACAGTTGTTTCCATTGCAGCTGGAAATTTCAATTTTTTGCATATGTATTTAAAATAAGACTGACACCACTGTGTTAATCATTTGCTATTTTAGATACAGTTAATCTCTGCAAATGTAGATTATTTGTACAGTATATAAAGCAGTGACATGATCATATAAATGATCATGTTCAGAAAACTTTTAAAGATAATTTCTTTTTGGTAAAATTACATAAACGTAATACGCCCCCCTTTCCAGGAAAAAATATCTTATTAATTCAGAAAATCAAATGATTGCTCAAGGAGTGCTACATAATTACGTTGCTAAAACCAAGACAAAGTAACATCAATTGTAGGACCATGCTGCTTCAGATGTGCTACCCCCTGTACATAGCAAATTCATACGACAGTCCATATGAATTCTGTCTGACCCTGAACACTTACAGAAATTTCATGTGTAACAGCTTAAAAAGAATAAAAATTCTGTTCATGAGATCTCTGCCAGAAGTCATGGTTATGACTAGCAACAATCTTCAGACGAGACTCTTGATGAGACCTACTGCAAGAATAAAAAGGATGACATCAGACCGATAAAATAATGATCAAAGGCTATAGTACACTTGGAATGTTCTCTTTTTATTTTAAATATACTTATTACAGTAATTTGTTAGGCTTATATAGAGCACTATTATTTACATGATTCAGTGTTTATCCTTTGGGGAGAATTCCAGTGCTCAATAAGTAAGAGTCAATGAGCTGCTTGTTAACCATCTTGGAATCAGTGTTCTGAAATATTAATTTCACATAAATGGTGAAAGTTCTTGAAATAGTTACAGTTACCTGAAGTTCCATTCAGTAGGTATCTTCGAAGTGAGTTAAATTATGTTGAAAACTCTGAATATAGCTATAGATAATCAGAAGACAGTTCGACAACAACATCAAATTAAAAAAATACCAAAAAACATCAGTGGCTGACATCTACGTTTTTCAGATGCATCTCAGGGTGATGGTAGTGTTCAAAGGGAACAAATAACCATTTTTTGGTAGACTGCCTGTTATAAAATGTCTAGATCATGGGCAAAATATACAGTCACTAATAAATAAAAAATACATTTTTTTTCAAGATCTCCTTCTAACATGGCATCTTAAAATGTGCCTACAGTTAAGAATGGTTTTCATTATTTTTATTAAAATTAAATTTTCCATGGTTGCTATTTCTTGCACATGAATTTATGCATTATAAGTACTACATAAAACATATAAAAGATGAAGTTGTCAGTATACGGAATATCATTAGCTGAGAACATGAAGAAAAGGTTCATATCAGATCCCACTGAATGTTATGTAAGTTCAAACGTACAAGAAAGGGACTTTGGTCCTGATCTTGCACTAAGAGAATAATTGAAGTCCCCATGTTTCTATGTACAAAACTTACTATCTCTACTGAGATCATACGAGTCTCACGTTGACAACCATCCCATTTTCATGTGATTCACCACAGAAAGGGAGTTTCAATCAGGACAAGCAGCTTGGTTATTTCTCTTAATTCTCATCAATGTGTTTCAGAAGTCAAATCCATGGCACACTATGTGAGTGGCTGAATATCTGTGATGTTCAGCTATGGCACACAGTTTTGTTTTCCCAACATACACAAAGACAGCAGGGAAATGCAGCTCATAACTACCAGGAATTTATCCTAAGAAATGTAACATTTTCATCATTATCATGGGGTAGAAACTATCGTTATTGACAGTGTGCCTGTTTTTCAACAAAACATCATTGATTTTAGTAGCACTACAGTTTGGCAAAGAATAGTTTCTGAATTATCTGTTACAGTTTTGAATATCTGGCACATTTAAGACACCCACCCACCTATTCAAATAATATATTAAAGCAAAATCAATGTTTGATATAAAATAACAGTTGTGTTGCAAATGTGGAAAAATAGTCTACAAAAAATAAGTATAAAAGTGATCTCAGATTTATGAATATGCTTCATATAAACAAGTTCAGGTGACTAATCTGTGTTAGAAATGGCCCTTGGTAGGCTGTGTCACAACGGAACATCAAATTTTTCACAGTTTACAATAACACAGTGAGATTCACAATGTGATGACACCTTATATCAGAAAAATAGTATTTTACAAACTATCCATTTGGCATCTATTTTTAGACTTTTTTTCTGTTTCTTTTTCAGTTTCTTTTTTCTTTTTCCTTTTTTTTTCCTTTTCTTACAAAATAGTGCAAAATTACAGTGCGTTAATAGAGATTTTGCAAATCCTAATACAAAGTCAGTATATTTAACTGTTTTTTTCATTCACTGGAAAGAGTTTGGCACATTAGGATTTTGTATAGATTGAAAAGCTTCTTACTTGCTTCTCTTCAGTATATCCACTGAATCTTTAAAACATTAAATTGCACCAAGGGAGTTAACTTTCCAAACTTTTTAATCTCAGCTCTTATAATATGTGCATTACAAAGTGTCAAAGAAAATGTAGATTTTGCAGTTAATTTATTTGTGAAACCACATATATCAGACTGGCTTTTCTTATCGTATTATAAAGAGAAGGATTGATGGGAACATTTTTCACCTTGTGACTGCTAAAATGTTTATTTACAGTTTCAAGGTTCTAAAGGAAATTTATCCCAAATTTATATATATATATATAAATATATATATATAAGAGTTGGTTTACCATATACCTTTCAAATTTTGCTATCAAGTATGTCTCTGTATCTGGATCCAAACAGACTAAATGATAATAATAAAGAATAATAATAAAGAATAATAATAATAATAAAGAATAAAAAACAATTGCTTTTGCTGCCAATTTGCAAGGATTAAATTATTTTCCTACTAATAATTTGCTTAGGATTGTTAATGAAGAGTTCCCTCATGTATCAATACTTCATTTGTACAGACTGGTACACAGAAGTTGTCAGGTGAGTCCCAGGTCAGTTCTTTGCCTCCTTGGCTGAAAGCAGGAATGAAAAACCTGAGACCACTGAATTATCTACTAGAGGTTGCCAAAGAGTGGTTTGTACCATAATTCGGGCTGTTAACCTGAAGGTGAAAGGCTCACGACTGGATGTCTAAACCCCCACATGAGTGAATCTCTGAACTATTCACTGCACAAAGACCATTGGTTTTGGTTAATTGTGTAGAGACTGTGGTGACATAGAAGATTACCAATTCATTAGGTTTGCAATAGAGTAATTAACTGACTTATTCCAGTATGAAAACTGCAGGGTGATGTCTGTAGGCCTAGTTATTTCTCATAACTCTATGGTTTTATCATCTGTATAATTCTGTGGCCATTGTACCATGAATTAAAATTAATAATGCATGGTTTGTTTAATCAATTTATTGGAATTTCTGTTCCTTTTATGAACATATCTAAGCAGTCTGCATTTTACACCAGTTGTCTGAAGGTAGAATTGGCTAGTTATTCAAATATTAGAAGGGAAATATCCATGAATAAGATGGGTTTTTTTACCCAAGCCCTTCCACCCTTGGCGCAGTCCTTTGTTACTAGCACAGGAATCTCCCAAATCATCTGCTAACTCTGGTGGAAGATTTGTCCAAGCAAGGAGTAAAAGATAAAGCTGAAATAGCTATAAATCATATTGTATAAATCATATTGATTGATTTCTAACATTTAAAAATCACTTCCGTTAAAAACAAACAAAAAGCAAAAACAGAACTGTCAGCAAAATTAATGAAAAAGTCCACCAGCTGGCAGACATACAACTTCCCCTAGACTCTCTTCTCAACAAAGTACTAATTTTGACCAAGGAATTGGTCAAAATCTGATTAACTTTCAGTTTTCATTAGTTTTAAATAGGTCAAAGGCACCCCTTTTTCCCCCTTTGCACACACAATGATTATTCAGTCTCACCTAGACTGAACCAAATACTTTCCTCCAAAAGGAAAATCAGATATCGTTATGATTGACACAATCCAGGTTAAAAGGGTCCACACATGACCAGGTTTTATGCTTTCTTCCTGGGACAGTCCTCAAAATACTATCTCAGCAAGCCTCAGCTACTCTCACCTTATGTCCCATGGAAGTTCAGTCACCTTGCATAGCACGGGCAGGCTGTAGGGCCGGAGTGCTGTGCTGAGGGGGTGGCATGAGGCGGTGGTGGCACATATAGTATTGCTGAAGCAGAAGAGTAGGGCCAAGGTTTATTGTATAGACACTAAGCCAGAATCAAACCAAACAGTATTCAGTGTGGAATAGTCAGTCTACTCACTGGATGGATGCACATGATGCAGAAGAAGTCACACAAATTGCTCTCTGTTGACTATAGATTGCACTCTTTTGAACAATTCCTAAAGGCAATAAAAGCCTCAATGCATTAAAGCATTTAAGATGTTCTTAAAATTTTTAAGTCTCATGGTCATCTGCATGTGCTTAAGGTCTTTCTTGATTAAAGTCCAGACAGTATTGCTGCATGAGGACTTCAAAATCAAAAAAGGAAAGAAGAATAGAGACTCCTGAATCTAGATAAGAAGTATGATTAATTTACTGACAGACTTCACTCTGCACCCGAAAGTTATTTTCTGTCTAATGAAAAAGATAATACAAGGGCAACAGGAGTCCCATTCTCCAATAATCAGGAAGAGTCATTGGTTGTTTAACTGGATCTTCCTTGATTAGAGATGGGAGAAAATTAGTGTTTTTTAAAGCCTATTTTGTGAAAAAAATATGGGCAGCTAGACAGAGTAAATAGTTGTTTACTATGCTCAGTAGTGTCAATTTCCCACGTCTTGCTCAGCCTGTATGAACTCTACATTCCTACTTTCTCAGTCCAACTTTTACTTCATCTGTTCCTTAAAAGACAAATATATTGCTGGATGTCTCACACATTCCGTGAGCCTCGGTCATTGCGAGGAAAGCCATCTCATATAGAAAGAGGCATTCAAAGGAATTGTCAACAGGATTCACTAAGAAATGGGGACCTCATACTGAGCAAGAGTTGCTTTGGTCACTGAGTGTCTGAAATGACATGAAAAGTCTGCTTTAAAAGGATCTGCTGCCAGTTTTGTCTGATATCTATTCACATTTAGTGGGGTAGCAATGCATCTGCAGTTAGTATTTAAGTCTTATTTTTCACACTGAGAAAGGCAGTAGCAGTGATAACTCAGTGCACAACAGAGACCCTAAAACCATCCAAAATAAGCCATTGCAAAAGAAAATTAGTGATTACTTTCTGTCTTCAGTGGCTGCCTAGTTAACTTGAGACAAGTGCATATGCAAGATTATTGTGGGCTGGCAAGTAAAATAAACTGAATGACTGAAACAAAATTGTTGAGAAAATAGTACTGGTGTGATTTCTTATCTTCTAGTTCTCTTTTCTGGTACAAGTATCTTCTTTTGCCAATAGTATCAAAGCATAATGTCTTGTTCTCTACTATGTGTCTAATTCCATATAATTTAGCCTGCCATAATTAGTTGATTTTGCTCATTCTCCTTCACAGGGATTTGCTATTTGAGTCTATTTATGCTAGCTGTTCCTGTAGAGTAGCTCACTGCAGAAGAACAGACCTCACAATGCTGAATGTCATATACGGACTGGAAACAATCTTGAGTGAATTAAGCATGTAGGTCTAGGTAGACAGCCTTTATGCATGCATGCATGGAGTACAGATGTTTTACATCCATTGCTTCACATCATTTACCACATGGGCTGGACATGCCTGATAATGTTTTGTCTTCTGTCAGCAAAGTTCTTTATATCCAGAACTGATTAAGGCTTGATACCTGCAGATCACCTTAAAATCTTCATAAAACAGCTGTCTCACTTATGTTTTAGCCCACACTCTTCAAGATGTCAGTGAGGCATTAGGATCATTTATATTTTTTAGAATTTGGTCATGATTCTTCTCCATAATTCTGGATTAGATGTCTCTCCTGTCTCATTAATCCTTGAAACAATTTTAGCAGTGTGTCCTGAATGCAATGTATACAAGCTTTGTGTGGTGTTTCTGTGAAGAGAACAACTCTCTTTCCAGTTCCATCAAAAGACTTTCACACTTCTTGAAATTCAGCCGAAGATTAACCATACTGACTGGATCCTGTGCTTAGAGAGGTAAAGACATTACTTACAGTGTTAAAACTCAGTGTATATTTCAAAACTTTCCTGTGTATACACTAATCCATATTTGTAGCAACGAGTCATGTATCTTATTTTACTTGCTTGTTATTATTATAAGAACTTATCAGCTGAACTTGCTGCCAAGAAACCAATCTGATTTGACCTAAGGACTTACACAGCATAACTCCCATGATCTGAAATGAAAAATGAAATTAAGGATTGTGCACATTCACCTTCCAGTGAGATCAGTGCAAAGAACTTCCAAATCCCAGCACTGAGGGAATCAGGTTATTGAGCCAAACCAGTGGTATGTTCAGTGACAGAATTTTTCAGTCCTCCCCAAAACAAAACGCTATGATTTTGTCTAGGATAGACTGTGAGCTATAGCCACTTGCCTTTGAAATGATAAAATATTACTCACATTACATCCATGTCAACACTTCATTTTTAGAAGATTCAGTTTCGTTGTATTGCATTAATTTTCAGTGTAAGCTCATCTTTTTTCATTCTGGAATACTGGTGATTGACATCCTACTGAAAACTAGCTTTTAAAGAAAGCAATAAATAGTGTAAGTAAATATCTGGATTAGAATACAGCTTTTGAAGCCATAGGGAGAGAAGTGATTCTATCATTTTTCCATGGGGTTTTGAGTTTTAGAAATTTAATTACATTACTCTTACAGCCTTCTGTGTTTTTATTCCAACCTGGAGTGAAAAAATAAATCTGACAAGTCACCTTACCTTTTGCCAAATATTTATAATTTTGTATCCCTTATTTTCTTACTTCAGCAATGTTGCTGTCTGCAAGTTTAATCTTAGGTATTTGATTAACTACTGTGCTTGATCAGGTTCTTATACATCTCATAAGCTGAAGCTTTTCCAGTTGAACTTTTTTCTTTTTTTCTAGTAGAAGGTGTGATCTGTAGCACTTTGACCTGAAAATCCAAGCTAACTGGCTTTCATTTGATACCAAAACATATCCATACATTTATGTCATTAAACCAACCTTGTACGTATAAATATATATGGCAATCATATATTCATGTCTTAGCTGAAATAAAGAAGGATTAAAATCAAGTGACACATTAAAAGCAGACATTTTAAACAATCAGGACAATAATCACAATTTCGTATTTGCTATTAGAGCAAATTTAGTACTTAAGAACCTACTCATATTATCAAATATTGATAGCAAACTGCTGCTCTGAATAGTGCATTTTTTCATATAAAATATTCTCAGACCCCAAAATTCATTAACCTAGTAAGTTGAAAGGTTGAATATGTCAACCTGATAGCTTATTTACTGAATTTGAACATATTTCTTTCAGAAAATTAACTGTTTAGTCATTTTATCCCCCTTTCATGAGTCATAACATCACATTTTCCGCTACAATTAAAGTTCAACATGTCTTTACAGAATTGGGGAAAAATTCACTATTATTCAAGAAACTATATGAGAGAAATTCCTAAAATTTCTCAGCAAGCTATTTCAAAAATCCATTATTACCAGCTGAATTCAGTTCATGAGGCTGATGTAATCAAATACCTTTATTAAAATCCATTTATCTCTGTATTGGTGTAACACCACTTAGAGCCCTGGTTCATATTAATAATACTTGAGACACAATGGGGCTTAAGGGCATGCTGCATTTGAAAACAAAAATTGGATGAATCTGGGCTTTGGTCTCTAAGATTGGTCATTTTCTCTGTGTCTGACTTATTGTTTCTTCGGGGGTAAGAACAGATATATTCTTCAAGCAACTTAATGGGACTATTTGTTAGGAAACATCTTATTTTTAGAAACCAAAACTGTCTACTATTCTAATACCTTTAAAAAACTATAGTTCATTACTCTTAAAAAGGGGGGCAATTAATGACACTTCAGTAATGCTAGGTATTGTACTTTACTGTGCTCTTAAAATGTAAAATGAACATATGAAACTTTACTGTCTTTTGATATATTACACACATTTTAGACTGGAACAGCAAATTATGTTCCTAAAGTTTTCTCCGGTATTTAAAAATTGTTTCCTCATTTTCCAAATAGTTAAACAGCAAATGTAATGTTAAAAATAAAAAACAATTGTTAAAAATTACTACTTGGGGTGTAAGACTGGGACATATTTCACAGAAAATGTGGGAAATTTTGTTTTAAATTCACAATAAACAATCAAATATTCTTCAGTGCACATAATTAGTATGTCTATTATGATTTGAAACTAAGTATTGATGACTACTGTTGCTGATCTTTTAAAATCTCTTACAAAATATAAATAGGATAGCCAAGAGGGAACAGCTGATAAACCATGACAAAATATTCTCTTTTCCTTCCTTTTTTTTCTCTTTTCCTTTCCTCTCCACTTGGACTGAAGTTCCTTCTGGCTTCTTCAAAAAAGTGCACACACACACACACACACACACACACACACACACACAAATTAATTCCAAAACCATTTTTCTAAATTTCCAATGGACTTGTACTCCTGGTGTCTTTTCACATGATCACAAGCAAGACATGCATGTGATTCCCAGAACCTAGGAAGATGCACCGAAAAATCCTTCTTCCAGTTGAAATAACTAAGGTACATCTTGTTATTTTTGTCGAGCATCAAAAGATATTCTGCCAGCTCTCTGGGGGAGAGAAAATCTTCCACGTGTATGAAAGAGTCTGCTGGAATGTAATTCTCATAATTTTCTCTGGAAGGGCCCAGTACAACTGGTACTGATCCAGCCAGAAGAGCATTGTAAAGTTTCTCAGTAATGTAATCTTTGTGGATTGAATTTTCAAAGGAAAGGTAGAATTTGCAAGTGGAGATAGTTGGAATCAAGTTTTTGTCATTGACGTAGTCTCCAAAGGCTTGTCCGTAGGTATGGATTTCAATGTATTTGCTAAGCTCATTATAATACTTGACTCGAGCGTGCTCGGGGTTCCAGTTACTTACAACCCAACAGACCAAGTTTTCCTTACTTGGTACTTCAAATGTGAAGGAACTTGTACCAACCATCATGAAGCCATAAGGCACCTGAATATCTGAATCACGCCGATAAGTCAGGGTCAGGTTAAATAGGTGTTCAATGCCACTCTTCTGTGGAGTATGAGTTGGAGACTCCAAGTTCATCCAAATCCACTTCTGGAATGGTGGCCTGGCTTGCTGAGGTAAATTAGTCAGATCCCAGCTAATGTCCCTGTGATGAATGAGAACAGCATGGGATCTGTTATATAGCGAGCGGTCAATAGTCAGATGGCACCCAGGGATATTGAACATTGTTTGGCAGGATGTTAAATCGAATGTCTGGCCAAATGGCCAAACCCAGATCAAAACAGTAGTTTCATTAAGATTATCAGTTTTGGAAGAAAAGAAGTTCTTCATTTTCAAAACTGAACTGGCTGATTCTATAGGACCAGAAATCCAGCTATTTGTTGGTTTGATATAAATTAATATAAATGCCATGAAACAACCAAGGACAATGAAGATAATAAAAAATGGCCGGAAAATTCCTTTAGATGTCGATGTCATAATTTGTTCTGAGAAAAAAGAGAGGAAGAGAAAGAGATAAAATAACATCAGGTATTAAATTACATATATATATGTCCTGTTAAAGCAATCAGATATCAAAATGAATAGAACTTCTATAGCAATGATCTGTAACCTCAGAAATTTCCTTTGAATGGAGAGGGCATGAGTTCTTTCTTGCCATTCATGACAAAGTGATAATATTTCTCCTCTTCACATTAAAAGTTCATTGACATTAATTGAAACCAGGATTTTAATACATCTCATACTTGATGTGAATTAGTATATATATTGAGAAGTTTTTTTTGCTTGGAACCTAGGCCAAGCATTTGAGACACACAATACAGACACAATTACCCTTTGATTCTACCTTTGTCTCCATGTAAGGAATAACATGCTGCACATCGGCATTCCATTCATATTTTTGTGTATATGGAGGATATAGGATTAGAGGATTGAAAACGAAAGGAACTAGAACTTTAATTCTGTAATCAGTAAGCCTGTTATTAGAAAACTAGTTCATGCCTTATGGCTACATAGGGATGAACATTGATGCCTTCTCCAAAGGACTCCTAAAATAACTAGAGAAGGAAAGCAGCAATAGAGGCTTCCCCTGTGCAGCCTCACATAGTTCCCACATAGAGAAAAATAAAGAAAAAAGAATAAGAAGATGTCCTTAAATATTAAAGTTTTTATGCCACAGTCCTGTGTTAAAAATTAGGAAATGTAGAGATAGCTGCATCTTTGTGAGGTATTGATTTTTTCCACAGGGAAAAAGAGATGAGGACTTTATTATATAGCCTCCTTTGTCCTCTCTCTGGTTGTCTCTTCCTGAGAGAAGTGCTCAATCTCTTTTCAGAACTTCTCTTCCATATATTTTTTGTGAAACCTAACAAAGTCAGGGGTTGTTTATTGCTAACCTTTGCTCCTGAATGTAGTCACAGAAAGCAGAAAGTGAATGTCAGGCCTTTTAAACCAGTTTCATTACTCATGTCCTCCTACCTGTGAAATAAGTAGTTAAATTCAGAATGAAGGCATAGTAGAATGTGATTCAGAGATCCATTAATACCACATAACTTTTCTGCTTTTGTGAGTGTAAAAATTAATATGTGAGTGCAGCACTACAATTACAAAGGAAATGTTTTCACATTCATTGTTGAGGAAAATGAAAGAGGAGGGAATGTCTTCTTAGCTTTACTCTAACACTGTATCTTGAGGAAAAGGGAATTTTCCACGATATCTCCCTTTGTTTTGGGAAGGTAGATGGTTTTAATCCTGGTTTTAGTTACTGTGGTGGGTCAACCTTTTCTGGCTGTCAGACACCCATCCAACCATTCTCTCACTCCCTCTCCTCAACAAAATAGGTGGAGAAAATAAGATGAAATTCTTATGGGTTGAAGTAAGAATGGGGAGATCACTTACCACTTACCGTGATAGGCTAAACAGAATCATCTTGGGGCAAAATAATGTAATTTATTGCCATTTAAAATAGATCAAAGACAAAAATTAAAATAATATCTGCCCCTCAACTTCACAGGCTCAAATTCCTCCTTCGTTCCCATCTCCTCCACTTCCTCCCTGCCCCTGAGCAGTGCACAGGAATGGGGAATGGGAGTTTGTGATCAGTCTGCAATGATTCCTCTCAGCTGCTTCTTCCTCCTCACACATTTCCTCTGTTCCAAAATGTGTCCTTCTTATGGGATACAGTTCCTTCAGGAAAAAAACCTGGACTCCCTATGGGATGCTGTTCCTTCACTATACATCCTCCTGCTCTAGCATGGGGTCCTCCCCAGGCCACCATGGGCTCTAGGGGAATCTCTGCTCTAGTGACTGGAGCACCTCCTCCTATCCCTCTTCTCTGACCTTGGTGCTCACAAGGTTGTTTCTCACATTTTTTCCCCTCATTCCCCGCTGGCTGTCCCTTTCTTAAATACACTTTCCCAGAGGTGCAACCACCTTGGCTGCAGGGCATAGCCGTGCCCTGCAGTGGGTGTGCTGGAATTGGCCATGTATGGCACAGGGGCAGCCCTGGCTGCTCTCCACAGAGGTCATCTGGCAGTCCCCACTGTCAGCACCTGGGCACAAACACCTAATACAGGTATATAAAATGTAAGTGGTATGTTGAGTCTCGTGCTTTTGTCTAGGCCCTTTTTCTTAGGACATAGTTTAGCTGGTCCTCTCTACATTTGGCAAAATGATCCTGAGGAGAGTAAAGAAGAGGAACTTTTGTGTCCGTGGCTTTTCCACTTATCATCATCAGTTTAAATCCCTCTGAATGAAATATGTGGCTTTACAGCAAGATCACATTGGCTTTTTTTGGCCTATGTTGATTGTTGCTGGCAAATATGTCTAGAAGGGAGGTTATAACCTATGAGACCCAAAGAGTGCTTCCTTGCTTCCTTGTCTTACTACAGCGAAAACAAGAGGAAGAATGGATTTAGGTTGAACAACTCTAGGAGATAAAACTCAAAGAAAATATGTGAGGCTGAGCTGATATTCATGTAATGCTGTTCTTTGTTTCTGTGTTATTGAAAACAACACACTGAATAGGTGCAGCTTTTCACTAAACAGATAGCATGAGCTGAGTTTTGACAATAGATTGGGAGAGGTGTCTATTCACAGGGACTGATCATTTTCTAGGAATTGAAAAGTGTGATGAAAAATCAGAAAAGGACTTTAACATTGTGCCTTGTAACATAGTCGCCCTCCAGTAAAAAGCCTTTTGACTCAAGTCCCTCTGATAGGGATTATTTTACACTAAGCTCTTCTTCTAACCAATAAACCCCCCTGCATCATCACATGGCAATTCTTGCTACATAGAAAATGACCAGACATTGTGTATACTTTTCTCTACTCGAAATTCTAGTGTGTCCAGAGTGTTGCATTCATGTAGGAAGCTTTTGAACTGTAGTGCCAATGTGAAGGTAAACGCTTTTTGTCTCTGCTACCCCGAGTACCAGTATTAACATCTCACAATGTTAAACAGGTGGGTTTACCTATTTTCGTCCCTTATGGATTGATTTCCTCTCATAGCTTTGCTGTTCTTTGAACTCATGCGCCTGTGTTTCTTCACAGGGTAGACTAATGAACTTGTGGAATAGAACAGCAAACTCTGCTTTCATGGCTTTTGGGACTGAGTCCTGTACACAGACAGGAAGCAATTAAGTACAGTGAAGGTATGTGGTAAACATTTATTAAGAAACACTATTTTCACAGCATAATAAAATGGTTTGGGTTAGAAGGGATTTTCTTGAGAAGTAGCTTGTCTGTACTGCTAGGACATATAGGTTATGGTCCACTAAAATCTGTAGAATATTTTTTCATAATATTCTCCAAAATCTGAAGACTTTTCCATATTTCTTTATTTCCTTCTTCTCTTTTTTTGCCCAAGATAATGATCAATCTCCCACTGTAATTCTCACTATAAAGGTGACACTGAGGAGACATTTGTTACAAGACATCCAGCCAAGTAACCTTAGCTCACCCTTCCTCTTTCATGACTTTCCTTCTACCACAGAATCACAAATTTCCTTTTTGCAGATCCCCTCCCCCATGCATGCCAGACTCTGAAAAGAAAACCTTGTCAAAGAGATGTGTTTACCGAGACTTTTGCCAGCTGGAAGAATTCTGTGCTTTTGATAGTTTTGTTATAAAGTATGTTTCAGAGTGTTATGGCATAGCAAGTATTTTCTAGGTGCTTTTTCCCAAGTTAAAAGTATAGTATTTCATCAGTACAAGAGTGTTTTTCTCCATACAAAACTTAGCAAGGCTCCTTTTAACTGCAAAACTTGGCATTCCATCAGCAAGCAACTCCATTTAGCAGCAACAAAAAATGGGAGATAGTTATGGGGTACCAGCAATGTTAACACCAAGTATACCAGACAAGTCTTGCAAAAATATGTCTATTTTGTGAATGCACTGTGTTCATTAAGAAACAGAATTTTATGGAAAGTGTTTTATCATGTCTTCATTGCAACTGAGACTTCTCAGTCATTCCAGATATGGTTTTTTTTCTGGTTATGTAACACTGCAGGCAGGAGAAAATGCAACATTGCTAGTCAATAATATCAACGCCCCTGGTATATTTTTACAGCAAATTTCCCTGGTTTCTCACGGTTTTGTCAGTAGCCCAAAATACATCACTACTTGCAGATATATAACATTCATTACTAGTCTAATACTGAGATTTTCCAAAGGAAAAGGACAGTATTTTAAAAGAAAGCTGAAGCCAAGATTCTTGAAAGCATGGACACTGAATAATGAATAAAAAAATCACTACTTTACTCATCTTAGAATTCTTAAGCATTCAGGGCTAACTTTTGTCTTGATCATCACTTGGTCTCAGGATCACTCAAGTAGAAATACTTAACAACCTCACGATAGTGTCTGAGGATCACTCCCGAGATCAGAGTGGATGTTTCTGTTACGGTGGACTTGACTGAAGAGCAGAAGGACACTGAGGCTTACAGAGGTGTCAGAGGCCCATTTAGAAGCAGACAGCTAGCTAGGTAGATACTCCAGGAGTATAAAAGGGCAGTTGAATGCAGAGGGAACTGATAGGAATGACAGGCAAACAATTGTTACTGTTAGAAGAAGGCTCATTTGAAACTGTTCTCCCTGTCCTCTGGCATGTTTTACCAGCCTTGGACATAGCATATCTGCATTTATGTGAAGAGCTGTATTTTCTTCGACCACGCTCCCAATTAGCTGGAGCTTTTTCACCTGCATTTTAAAAGGAAATTTGATTATCTCAGGATAGCCATCCTGTGACTTCTTATCTCCAAGTCACTGCTGTATGGACATGCTCCAAACTGCTTTTGCTTTAGGTCTCCAAGACTGAAGATTGCTTCTCTTTATTGGAATTAACTCTCACTACTCTCAGTTAAGCCTCCTCTGTCACAACCAGAATGGTGGATTTTTTCCTCCCCACTATCCAGACACAGGCTTGCTTCCACACATTTCCATGCCTGTCCACAGATTTCTGAAAACAGCCCAGTATGAAAAGGCTAAACAGAGTTGCATACAGTTAAAAGGCTAAAAGCTGAATGAGCTGCTGATCTCAGACTGCATATTTTTATTCTATTGGTTACAACATTCTTTTTCTTCCCCTTTCCACCTCCTTTGTTTTTGGGTTATTCGTTCAATTCCTCAGATTCCAGTTTTGCACTTTGAGAACAGTTTAGAAGCTTTTTATTCAGCGGTGGTAATTTTTACTTTGAACAGTTTTAGAAAAATAATCTAAGAGCACTCTGAGGACAGGTAGCCATTAAGATAGATTCCTTAGGGGTGGTGCCAAAGCTATCACTGGAGACTGGTAAGAATAGGTTAGACAAGCACCACTAAGCAATGAGAGATCAGATTGTGCCTCCAGGTTCTAGGGCTGGACTAGATGACCTCACTTGATTTCTTCCAGCCTTGTGTTCAGTGACAGTATTAATAAAATAAATAGTTTTATAAATAATAATGCAATAACAATATTATTATGAATAAATAATTTATAAATAATAATTATTTAATAAATAATATTAATAAAATCACAGATTTTTATAACATGCACCTAATAAGAATACAACTGGCAGTCTAACACTGCAAAGAATCGCTGAATAAATGAGTAAAAATGTCCCCTATCTTGAAAGTTGTCTTGCAAATTACAAAATAGCCACACTGTACACAGTGAAAATGTGAAGGAAAGTGAAAAATTGTGTGGACAACAGCAACGACAAAGTCCCTATTTTCAAAGGCTAAGCCTAAAGCTTCCTATCAATTGCTAGGTGGGGTACTGCTGCTTTTTTGTGACTATCTGAGTCTTGACCCCTCAGGCCTTGCTGAAGAAAACCCTATTCTCAGCTTCCTTCTCCAAATTGCTGTGCAACACACCATTCTGCAATGGCTCAGCAGCCCCCAGCCTTCCCCCGTGGCTGTCATCTATCTTCTCCTTCTCCCCATGGCAGTCACACACTGTCACTCTCTAGCTGCTTATGCAACAGCCCAGTAGATTCTTTCTGTGACATTAGCCAGAGACTAATGTCTCAGACTGAGTCTCTCAGAATAGCAGACAGAAATGGCTACAGAACTGTGGTACATACTGGAGTGACCCAATATCCACCCCCACTGCCACATATGGAAAAAAAAAATAAAGTCTTATCAGCAAGAAACTTTTCCAGACAACCTGGTGCTAGTGTCAGGATACTCCATGTGGCAGCTGTGTTGCTTTCTAATTATGAGCTTTTAAGTTTGTCTCAGAGAGTACATAAGCATTCTTCATTCCTTCCCTGGCACAACTGGAAAATAAATGCACGCAAAGCCATCAGAACCTCAGCAGCATTGCCAGCCTTGGTAACATAGAGAGACAGAACCTTTTTTACCTTAACTTCCACGTTTGCTTGTCCACATCACAGCTAGTTTATGATCGATGGCAATCTGTGAAAGGGGTGGTGGCCTTCAGTTCTGTGCTAGCTATGAAAATAGAGTTCTTCACCACTGTAGCTTAGTAGCAAACTTTATCTGCCTTGCCAGGAAAGTGCTTTTCATCTTCTTGAATATAAAGCTCATCCTAGTTATGCAGCACAAGCCAGTCCATGCTTTTTTCAAAGCTCTGAAACGGCTCTGCACAAAATCAAGCTGATTGAAGAAAAGCTGCTCCAAAAGCAAGTGGTCTCTTCCTCCCTTCTTTCCATGTGGTTTAGGAACAGCAAACTGCTGTTCTCTCTATTTCTGCCAGAATTGCAGAAAGAGCTCTTCATTAGCTTTGTGACTGGCTTGCAAAACTGCAGCTAGCCAGCTAAATATGGATAGCATACCTGCACGCAAGCTATGTATTTGCGATGGCCACCAGACCATCAGAAAGTCCTAATCAACTCACAGTAGCTGTGAAAATAGTGAGAACTAAGCCAAACAAGATGGAGCATGAAGCTGCAGAAGAACCATAGGCATTCCTGTGCACATAAGCTAAACTCCCCATCTAAGAATCACAGTTGCTTCTGACTGATTTCCTAATACATAGTTCCCTAGTACA